GATTCGCCGCTAACGCCGAAAAGTCCATTTTAGTTGCAAAATGCAAATAATTTATGAAAAAGTTGATTGAAAAATCTGAAAAAAATTAGGATGCATCTTGACCCTTCACAGAATGTCTTGAGAGAAAATTTTTTAAAAAATATTTCCAGATTTTTCAGGAGTCGCCATTTTTCTCTCTTCATTTTTCAACCAAAATTTGCCATAACATAACTTTTGATCCAGTTAGCTTATTGGAATAAGAACAAAAGATGATTTTTTCTCGTCCTCTCCTCTCCATTTTCACTCTTTTGACCTTTTCACTCAACTTTCATATTTAACTCATCATTTGTTGATAAACTAAAAAAAAATGCTGTTTTTTCAATATATAATCTGACTGGAAAAATTTTTGATTAAGCTCGGTAGCTTTATCCCAAACTTGAGTCATTGGGATGAATTTTGAATTTTTTTACATTTTTCTTGGCATTTGTTAACGTAAATTCTTAATAATAAAAGAAAAAATTTCGATTTTCTTCAATGTCTAAAAATTCTTTGATTAAAAAAAAAAAAATTTTGATTTCTTGGTATTTTTTCATATTTTCAATACTTAGTGAGCTATAAATTATTTTAGATTTAGGGGAATGTTGTCGTCGGGCGCGCCGTACTCCACGCGCTTGATCTCCCTACTCGCCACATTCTCCGCGTCGCGGAACATCTGCAAGCGTTTCCTTTGCTAATTTCCTCCAAACATATGAAAAAATTACAAAAAAAAATTTTGTTGACAATCAATAGTGCACAAACTCAATGGGAGCTTCTGTTTTGCACCTCTGTACTTATAGTGCTAATTTGATGAGAAATTATATTGATGAAAATAGTTATTTTCCAATTTGAATTTAAATAAGAGTCAAAATTTGTAGGCGCCAGGTCTAAATTAAGTTTCCTTGGAATTATTATACGAGAAAAAACTCTACGGATGCATCATGAGAAATTATTTGAACCCACTTGGGATGTGATTGTTAACAAAAATTTGTTTTCAATTTTTTCATATTTTTGGAGGAAATTAGTAAAGGAAACATTTGCAAAAGTTCCGCTACGCGGAGAATGTGGAGAGTGGGGAGATCAAGCGCGTGAAGTGGGGCGCGCCCCTCGACATTTCCCGAAATGTAAAATAATTCATAGCTCACTAAGTATTGAAAATATGAAAAAATACCAAGATATCAAAACATTTTTTAAAAAATCAAAGAGTTTTTAGACATTGAAAAAATGATAAAAATCGAACATTTTTCCTTTTATTATNAAATCTAAAATAATTCATAGCTCACTAAGTATTGAAAATATGAAAAAATACCAAGATATCAAAACATTTTTTAAAAAATCAAAGAGTTTTTAGACATTGAAAAAATGATAAAAATCGAACATTTTTCCTTTTATTATGAAAAATCTACGTTAACAAATGCCAAGAAAAATATGAAAAAATTCAAGATTGATCCCAATGACTCAAGTTTGGGATAAAGCTACCGAGCTTGATCAAAAATTTTTCCAGTCAGATTATATATTGAAAGAACAGCAATTTTTTTATTTTATCAACAAATAATAAGTTAAATATGAAAGTTGAGTGAAAAGGTCAAAAGAGTGAAAATGAAGAGGAGAGAACGAGAAAAAATCACCTTGTGTTCTTATTGCAATAAGATAACTGGATCAAAAGTTATGTTATGGCAAATTTTGGTTGAAAAATGAAAAAAAAGAGAAAAATGGGGACTCCTGAAAAATTGAAAAATGTTTTTAAACAAATTTTCTCTCCTGAAGACATTCTGTGAAGAATTATTTGCATTTTGCAACTAAAATGGACTTTTCGGTGTTGGCGGCGAATCAGCTTTTTCGTAGTTCGACTTTGAGCGCGCTTGGCGACTTGACGGTTTAAATTGCGAAAATGCCGCCATTGACTTTTTTGTAGGAAATTTTATGCTCTACAAATAAAGCCTTATGCATTTTTATCCTATCTATCACGGTTTCGTCGGCGTAAAGCAAAAAAGGTCGCGTGGACGCTTAATTTTGCAGTTTTGAATTTTTTTAAACAATTTCCCAGTTTGCTACAATCCCAAAAACTTAGTATGTGTTTCATATCATTCTTCCGCATGATATCTCATAGTTTTTATCCTTCTTCTATCATCCTCGATTTCGGCCAAAAAAAAGTCCTTATTTGATTGGCCTACTAACTTTATTTGTCTCTCTCGTTTAACCCTGGTCGTCACCCCCCTGATCTTTGAAATTTTGAAGGCTTAAACCCATAATACAACTAGATCCGCGAGATAATTTCCCTACCCGATGGTTACCACTCATCTCCCTTATATACACGGTAGACATCACCATAAATCCACGGTAAAATCTCCCTTGCATCCACGGTAAAAAGTAGAAACACTGCACGCCGTTCACTCACCTTATATGCACGGTAAAAAAAAATTACTTCATATCCAAGGTGAAAATCTTCCCTATATCCACGGTAAAAATGGGCCCGATGCACACCACTGATTTACCTTATATCCACGGTAAGAATTACCTTTTATCCACTGTAAAACAATGGGCCTAACGTACCCCACTGCTTTCCTTATATCAACGGTAGAAATTACCGTATATCCACGGTAAAATATACCCTATATCGACGTTAAAATTTACCGTGGACCGTGTGAATAGACACTGCCAAAGATCATGCCTCGCAGAGTCAAATATGGAGAGGGTCATACTACGCGAAGGTCAAATGTTGCACGGGTCATATCTCATATCTCGCGGGGGAGCTGCTTTGCGAGGGTCAAACGCTGCAACGACGATATGTGTCGAGGTTCGAACGTCGCAACAGTCATATCTCACAAAGCCAACGTTGCAAAATTCATATGTCGCAGGGGTCATCACGTATGAAAAAATTCAATAGAAAACCAAACAAATTCGCTATAAAATTCTATTGTAATTCGATAGGAATACTATGGGGGTTTCTATAGGATTCCCATTGGAATTCTATTCAATAATTCGACTTTTTTCCACTGATCCTATTGGATATTAGATAAAAGACATTGATAGATTTCGAATTTCTGTTCGAATTTTTCTCTTGAGATTTTTTATATTAGAGTTAATGGACACAAATTTTTCAATTTTTTTCCGCGGGATTTTGTTTTGTTTTGCGTTACAGAATCCGAGTGAAAATTCGAAATCTATTGACTTTTATCGAATATCCAATAGAATCAGTCCAAAAAGCAAATTGAATTGTTCAATAGAATTCCATTAGAAATCCTATAGAAACCCCATAGAATTCCTATAGAATTCCAACAGAATTTTCTAGCGAATTTGCTAGGTTTTCTATTGAATTTTTTCATGCGCGATACCTCGCGAGGATCATGTCTCCCGTTAGACCCTTCACGATTTTCCTTCCTGTTCCTCTTATTTAATCCTCATAATCTTTGGGATCATGTGATTGTTATTGCTGCCTGCTTGGTTGACGTTTTGCTGTCGTTTTGCCCTTGAGATTATTCTACCCACTTCTGTTGTTTGTTGACGTTTGGCCCTCGCGAAGTATGACTCTTACGATGTTTGATCTTCGCGAGCTATGGCCATTGCGCAGTTTGACCCACTGTTAACGGGGTTGCTCTCGTACCGGAACAACTCTGTTGTTCTCAACCACCCGCGATGGCGAGACACGCGGTTAAAAAGATCTAAAACCTGCTTGGTAAATTACTTGTTTTTTTCATGTAGACAACTTGGGAAAAATACAGGTGATATTTTACTTGCCCAACCCTGTACATGCCTACTCAGGGAAAGCTGAATCGTCATTCCTATTCTTATAGTCATTCGGTGCCTTCGAACGTAGCTTGGGATGCATTCGGAAACTTATGACTAATTAAGCGTCTTTCTTGAGAAGTGTTTCCACCACTCTAGGCGCTTTCCATACGGATTGACAATTCCCCACTCCACCACTCAAATAGCAAGTTAGTCCAATTTTCCCAAAGAGGGTTAAATGAATATAAAAAACGAAAAAATAATAACTTATAAAGTAACAATCGTATTTAATCTGTCATATGGAATCTGTTAAACTGCTTGATTTTCCAATTTTTTAGGGGTGCAAAAGAAATAAATTTTCTTACACCTCAACGCATAAGATGACAAATTTTATTGAAAACGATCGAAAGACTCAAATTCAACACAGTGCGTTACAATTTATTCTCATTTACATTTTTTGTAAAAATTGTCATAATAGAAATACGCATTTCAAACATAATCAAAAGGTAGGCTAAGCTCTGGATCTATTTTGCTGTCAATTTCTTGATCCGTAAGGAGAAAGTTTTTGCTGAAAATCAAATTTGGAATTTTCATGAGATTTCTTACGTTTCTACTTTATATAAATATAAGCCTTTACTCGCCTTCTAGTTATGTTCAAAAAACGTTTTTTTAATTGTAATGATTTATAGAAAAAATAAAAATGGAGGAAGTGTTGGCTCAAGTTCTAGGTTTTCGAGATTTTCTAATAGAATTTGTCATCCTATGAATTTCGATATTTGACAGAAAAATTTACCTTGCATGCCTGAAAAATTGTGGAAAGAAAACGAGACATTTAATGGCTGAAAAATAAAAACCGGTTGGTTAGAATGCTATAGTTATGCAACAAAAACAAACTATTCTACAACAAAAACAAAGTTCAAGAAAATTTTCGAAACGTACTCGTAGAAAATTTTGAAAAAATTAAGATAACTTTTGAAGCTCCTCAATTGTATGAAAAATGCCCGTTGAGTTTTGAACGAGTGAGGACCAATTAACCTCATATAGGGTGCGTTTCGGAATCAACTACTGTAGCTGCAGTAAAGCGAAATTAGATAGGGTTACAGTACTGCTACTGCTACTAAGTCGATTGCGAAACGCGCCCATAAATGAATGGCAATAGGTTCGAAATTCTTCATTTTCATACTATATGAATTTCTATTCAATAAATTTCAAGAACAATGAATGGTTTTCTCACAAGGAACTTTATGGAACTGACTCACCTTCGAGAACATTCGTGTCATCATTCAGCAATGCTGAATTATTTCCAGATCTCTTGGACCATCTTCTGTTCATGCTCCTTCTTTTAGCCATTCCAAAATCCTGTAGATGAAAAAGATTATTACTTGATATTGATTAGGTATAACTGCAATGCGTGAAGTACGCATTACGTTTGTAAATATATAGTGAGAATCCCGTGACAACCAGTAGACTAACCTAAAATTCTTTGCCTTGCGATATCAACTTCTGATAATGTTGAAAAACGAGAAGATTTAAATTACGTTTTTTGTTTCAAGCACTAATGACGGGATTACGAGAATAATTTAGTCACCGCTTGCAGATGTTCTTGGCGAAATAAAGCAGTTATTATATCGTTTTATCCTTTATCAACAAAGATTATATGGGGGATCTCGAACGCCAATGAAAAGCCTTGACAGAGATTATAGGGGGAGATCAGCAGGGCCAATGTAAAGTGTTCAACAGCAAAATTCCTAGCGGTGGCGCAAGGACTACGATGGAGCGTACGGAACTGTTGGTATGGTAGGGCCCGAGTATAAATTTGTCGATAACCGGAAAGGGGTTCTCAATACGGTAGCTCCTCGCATTTTGTAATAATTGTCAGGAATGTAAAATCGAACATGTTATAATCAATAGTATAATGAATGCAGAATCTAATGATCTAAAAGTCTTTTCCTTTTTCTCGACATATTTATTATTGACACGTGGCTCAAAAAATTCATAGAAAATCCCAGCGCTGTCGCTGGAAAACTCTATAGTTATCCAGTGATTCTATTGAATAATTGTGCAGATTTTGTTTTTTTTTTACTATAGTAATGTTCGATTATATATATTTATTCCCCCCCTGAGTGAGAAAGCAATATGTATGGCGCTCGCTCCCACTCATTGTCGTCTCCGTCGCGTTGACACGTGCCCGTCCTNGGGAATTTAACTCTGCCATTATGGAGTTTTTGACGAGTGAAGTTTATTCACTGTACTCTGACATTTCTCTATTGTCTGTATTTACCGAGAAAAAAAAACGTTGTTCCTAGGAATCGATGTGTCTTTTTTAGGCAGCTGCATTTCTGAAATGCAATGAGCAAGCAATGTTAAAATTAAGTCATTTTGTAAAAAATTTCTAGTGACATGATCCTGAAAATCAAAGGAAAGTCTTGAATTCAGGAATAATGTCTGTAGGTTTCAGTAATATTTTCGCGGAAATTCCGGGAACACTTATTGGGAATTTTTATCGCGTTGCCGTAATACGGAAATTTCAAGGAATTTCGTGATTGCAAATTAAAAATTTCTGTTAATTTCAGTCCAATTATATGTGTACGTCCACGTGAAAAGGGCCCACTTTGTCGCATCTAATTTCCGAGATATTCACGTTTTTCTCTCCTCTCCATTTATCCCAAAGTTAAATTGATTTTTTGATCTTCTATACGGACGTCACACGGAGAAAAATAAATCGGTAAAAGTCTTGTGATCGCAAGGAGTTTCCCGAAGATCCCCATTTTTCATGCACGAAGAACAATGAAGCTTTTTGGAATCTTCGGGAAATTCTATTCTATCCTACTCAAGTAGGAGCGGAGGAATGAATTTTCAAAAGTGCGGACTAACCGGAGGGGCTCCTCCGATAGGGAAATTCATTTCTCCCCCCCCCCTAATTACGATGAAAGAATGAAAGCAATATCTATCGATGGAGAATTATATTCTCAATAAATTACAGCGGTTTCATTGCTTAATCTTTATTAGGAGAGGAGGAATGAATTTTCAAAGCGTGCAGTAACTCCGGACAAGTTCTTCTCATTCAAAAATCAATTTCTCGCCTCCCTAATTGAGATGAAGGAATGAAACCAAAGCTTACCGATTGAGAATTATATTTTTATTAAATGACATCGGTGTCATTTCTTAATCTCAGATAGGAACGGAGGAATAAATTTTCAAAAGCGCGGAGAAACCTCGAACGGTGAGCCCGGAGGGGCTCCCCCGATTGGAAAATTCATTTCTCCCCACCCCTCTAATTGAGAGAAGGGAATGAAACCGACGCCGATCGATCGAGAATTAAATTCTCAATGAATGACAGCGGTTTTATTCCTTAATCTCACGTAGGAGCGGAGGAATGAATTTTCAAAAGCGCGGAGAAACCCCGAACGGCTCTCCGACGTCGAGTTCGGAGGAATTCCCCCGATTGGAAAATTCATTTCTTCCACTCTAATTGAGATGAAGGATTTAAGCCAATGCCGATCGATCGAGAATTAAATTCTCAATAAATGACAACGATTTCATTCCTTAATCTCAAGTAGGAACGGAGGAATGAATCTTCGAACGCGCGGAGAAATCCCGAATGGCTTTCTGGCGTCGAGTGAGTCCGGAGGGGCTCCCTTGATTGGAAGATTCATTTCTCCCCCCCCCCCCCTTGATGCGAAGAAAGAATTAAAGCAACATCTATCGATCGAAAATAATATTCTCAATAAATGACATGGGTTTCATTTCTTAATCTCTATTAGGAGAGGAGGAATGAATTTTCAAAGCGCGCAGTAACTCTGAACAAGTTCTTCTCATTCAAAAATTAATTTCTCCCCTCCCTAATTGAGATGAAGTAATGAAACCAAAGCTTACCGATCGAGAATTATATTTTTAATAAATGACATCGGTTTCATCTCTTAATCTCAGTTAGGAACGGAGGAATGAATTTTCAAAAGCGCGGAGAAACCCCGAACGGCTCTCCGTCGTCGAGTGAGTCCGGAGTAGTCCAATGAACGAAGGTCTAACATACGAATGTTTGCTAATTAGGGTCCATTTTTGATACAATTTGTGATTTGGGCGTATGAAACTAATGGCGGATGTTTAAGGTTCCCCAAGTTTGTGCGGGGGTTGAAAAAGCCACAAAACTACCCCTGAAAACGGTATTTGCGAAATAACTCGTGAATAACGCGCTGTACGTCCAAAAATGTAAAATACGAAGTTGTAGAGCTCAAAATTCTACACAAAAAATATTTGGGATAAGTTACACCTATTCCCAACCGTTCATCCCCCAGAGCCGCGTGAAAATCAAATGGGGAAAAGAAATGTTTTCCATTTGAAAAATTGAAGTTAATGAATTTTTTGTTTTTGTAATTCGGAATATCAGTGTTTTTTTTTCAATAGCTTGTTTGTTTATTCAGAGCGAATTTAATATATGTTGCTATTTATATCGTGACATTGAATCGATGAATTTATATTTTTTCCATATTTTTTATTAGAACATTTACCACAAATTTTGTCTTGATCGTACCCGCGAATCTCCTATGGATTCAAAGTTAAACGCAATTTTCTAGCTCCAACCCCTAAATCCGGCGCCGGGAATGAAAACCTCTTGTGCGAGAGAGATGTCTCCGTCTCGCTCCCACTCGCTACAGCATTTTTGCGAACATTTGCGCAGGCGCGCACGGGTCTGTGGAACATCACGGACAGAATGGGAGAAAAAGAATCATTTGAGGTTTTTCGTCAGCCGTTCGCTCTCTCTCTCCCTCTCCCTCTCCCTCTCTCCCTCTCTCCCTGTCTCCCTCT